GTTCCACCAGCGTTGTCGTCCCACTCTATTTCGTGAACAACAAGGGAATAGTGAGCACCATTGACGGTTGTGAGATAAGAATTACGCGTGATCTCAAAGCCCACAAAAAGGAATTGATGGCAGGAGTTCACTTGTTCCTGGCAATGCACTCATTTCGGTTGTTGAGCTCAGGATCCCTCTCCTGGATGTACAACCCTTCCAATAGTTTTCAAGCACCGATCTCATTCTCCTAGGCTAGGATTTTGCATTTGATTTCAAAATCTTTGCCTTGATGCTCGTCTAATCGATACCTACCAAGTGGCGTGAGTAGGCTTCCTCGCCTATCACCTGCCAGATGTTCTTTAATGCGTGTGCCCAGCATCCTTCCCGTCTCACCAATATATAACATACTCTCGTGATTTCTCAGCGAGTACCCTTTTAAGACTGACTTTCTCTGCTTTGTAGCTTTGTTCGGCCTGTGACGAAAGATATATTGATGAGTCGGGAAGGAGCTGGGCATACGCGTTAAAGAACATCTAGCAGGTGAAAGGCGAGAAAACCTACTCACGAAACTTGGTAGGTATAGAGGAGCACCAGGGCAAAGGTTTTGAAATCAATTGTAAAATTCTAGCCTACGAGAATGAGATCGGTGCTTGAAAACTATTAGAAGGGTTGTACATCCACGAGCGAATCCTAAACTGAACAACCGATATGAATGCGTTGCCATAACAAGTGAACTTCTGCCATTCATTCCTTTTGTGTGGGCTTAGAGATCACCGCGTAATTCTTATCTCACGACCGTTAATGGTGCTCATTCTTCCCCTGTTGTTCACGAAATAGAGAGGAACGACAGCGCTGTTGGAACCCCAAAAGGTTGGCTTCCTGGCAGGTGTTCCGGTGTTTGGGAGTAGTTGCAACTGGCCTATCGCGCTTGAGCGCTTGGTCAGGTAAGCCGCAGACTAAGAGCTACAAACTAATTTCATGTCTTTGATAGCGACGAGTCAGTCGAGACTAAACGGTTCCATCATAATAACCATGTTCGGCAGAGCATTTGGAAATATCTTCAGGGCATACACACTCAAAGCTCTTCATCTCCATTGTCCCTGGGAAAATGGAACCCTATCCGGTAAATATATGCTGTGTATAGGAGTGCCGTGATTCTATGAACAGAGGGAGTCCGCAAAAAAGGCTGCTTTTTGATAACTAACTTCTGTTACTAAGGACTAAAATCTAAACTAACTCATCAAAAAAATTTTCACCCATTTTTCTACAAAATACGCCTGAACTCCAACGCGTGAGGCAGCAGCACAGCGCGATTTGATGGCCGGTTCCCGCTAGTGCTGCAATCGTTTGCCCTCTTGGCTGACAACATAATTCTGTCGCTGTGTGCAAGTGTTCTAAATTTACATTGATTTTGATGTGGGCTTACAAACAACTCATTATCACGCTAACCCTAACTCACTTTTCAGAGATAGACTTCGACGAACGTCCAGTACCAGTTTCTTACGCGAAACACAAAGTGGAGACGTCATTGTCGGAGCATGTAATGAATCTGGACAATTCCAACGAAAGCACAACAACTCAGATTACGGATAAGCGAATGCCTCTACGAACGGACACACAACGACCTCGCCTCGTCGGTCCACCGATTCGACGACCGAGGCCAAAATCGAAAGGATCATCTTCTTCTGCTGGAGGCACGTACAAGTCCGGCCCTACGGGAACCGGCAACTGCCCGCCTGGCAACGAGGCAACTCGAGATGACAGTGGTCGATTGATCATGTGCAACGGATTTGAACCAAATTGTCCACCTCGTTCCTACTGCTACATAACTACCGGTGGATTCGCCTCTGAAGAGTACAACTGCTGCAAATCGTGGTAAACTCGCGTGCAGTGCTTCAAAACGTAGTCCATTTATTAGTGGCACAGTTCACATTAAAAATACCTCATGAGATATCCCACCAAGATAAATCTGTGGACCGCTGTAAACCACTGCGGCGCTACCAGGTTGCGATACAGCCTAGGTAAGGCGCTATGAAATCTCAAAGATTGCCCTGCGTGTATGCGCGGACGAGTTTCGACAGCATTGTAGAGGCTGAACCATTCAAGAGAACCATTTAGGAAGTTCAAAAAGTTTGTCATGGCCAATAGCGACAGTAGGCAATTCTGAAGAGTTTTTGCTTGATGTAGTCAGCTCTTCGAAACCATTTTTTCGCAAAATCGGCTAATTTTCTCCCTTCTTCCACACTGATTTCACTGTACCTTACCAAAACTCCCTCCTTTCGACTTAAAAAGGTACCTCAAAATTATTGTGAACTGCGCCTTTAATAAACGTTTTATTATGACGATTAACAGGACGATTGTGATGTTTTTGCCGAAATTGCGTGTGTGTACTTATGACCTCTTCATCTCACAACCATCCTCCCCCTTATTCAATGATACTATTCTGGCTGCAAGAAAATAATGTACGTATGTCCCTAAGGGGGTTACTTTAGTCACGATTCTCTCCTGAAGATTTCACTAAGTGTCGTAGATCACTTATGTACGCAATAACTGCCTTTTTCACATATTGTAAATTATTTTATTCGATGAGCAGCACGACTTGCAGCAATGTTTTTTTTGAGTGTTATTGTAATTTGTAGTGTCATTTTTTTTTTTGATAAAATACCTCAACATGGTTGGAATGGTTTGATTTGTCAAAATTGAATATCTAAAATATACTTTCAGAATTACAATACTTATAATTATGTGCAGGTTTGACTCCTCGTAAACTCAAATACGGTCAACACTGTTATAAAGACAACAACGATACGTGTACCTTCGGAGCTGTGTGTATCGACTCCGTCTGTAAATGTGCACCCGGTTACGCTCTGAACACAAATGGATGGTGTGAACCGTTTAACTTCATTCCAGTAAGTGACAATCATTCGACCAGTTTGTTTCGATGACTTTTGAATTTTTACGCCTCCCTCATCTCAAGTGATGATCTGTAAACATACGGGAAGTATTTCCGCTTGTTGTGCTTCCAAAAAACAATCATCTAATGGAACCGCTCAATTGGATGGCTCCCAGCCGATACTGTAATTCTAGTGAGAACCTTCGAAATGAATCAAGGGCAGTCTGCAGACCATTTCCCTTGACCCAAGATTCCAGAGAGACTTAGATAAGCCTAGAAAAGAAAATGTGTCATGGAATCATTGAAAGAAAGGAACACTTTGAATGGATACGCCGGGCCACGATTGTAAAAACCATAAATAAGACATCAAATCACTTTTGATGACTTTTTGAAGGCGTTCTGATGGATTGCATGGAATTTTGATGCTAGTGCTTTTACTCATAAAACTGGAGTCCTCGATCGGAGCTTTTTGAATCTGGCGATCGGGAGGGCGCGAAAGTCTTTTTTGATGGGTAATCTACAGGTTGCTATAATGAGTCCAGTTTCCGTAGTCGCGGTAGAAATGGCGAGACTGTTAAGGTTTTCATTCACTGATAAATCTTGTTTTGAGTTGGTCTTGAAGAAGGATGAAGACTAATGACTGATGAATTAAAGGCACAATACCACTATTAATCGTTTCTAAGATTCCCCGATAGTTGAATTCGAGGCTCCTTCTTGTAGCATACCTGTCATTACGAGGGCGAAAAACGTCCTGGATAGGGCACGATGAGGAATCAGAGATTGTATCGTGTGAATGCCACACCACCAGTGGACGAGTTTCAACGGCTTTGTAGAGTCTGCACCATTCATAAGAGTATCAATGTAGGAAGTTCAAATAACTTGTCGTGACCCATAGAGACAGTGAGAGGCAGTTTTGGACAGTTATTCTTTGATATAGTCAGCTCCTTGCATGATGGGAACAAGTTAAATCTCGTCCAAAATCCTAATTCAAAATCTAATTCCATGCCATTACTGTCGCGGTGATCTCGTACAGCCTTCACTTCCATTATTTTAAAAGACTGAAGCGGGCAGTTTCTCTCCCTCTCTTCGCAAGCGATGTTTCCTGTATCCTGCACATGAACACATCCGCTTTTCAACCTAAAAACGGCACCTCAAAATTAGGAACTGTGCCTTCAACCACTACGGTCATTGCAACTTGTGGAGCGGTCAGAACTCGAAGTTTTCTAGAATGTATTGGAAATTCAATGTCAGAAACGATATGCAACATATGGACATAAGCTTCAGCTCGTCAATTATTATCCTTTTTGCACTTTTGGGTTGCTGGTTGTCGCTGCAGTCGTCTTTTTTGGAGTTTCAAACGGCTTAGTTTGATTTGCGTTTGCAACACCTGTTCGTCTGGACATAGGGCGCACAGGGGTGACGCCGTTTGACCAGTAATAAAATTTCGTAAAGATTAGATGGAACAACATGGTTCTCCAACGATAAAGTGGTTTGGTAACAAACTTCTGCTTACTAATTTAAGCCGTGCGAGTTCAACGGGATATGGAGACTTTACAAGGTAGACAAGAGGCTACAAATAAAATTTTGATAAGATTGATTTTGATGGAAACTAATCATGGGCAAGCTGATCCTGAATAGCTCTAAAGCTCGGAGTCTATCTATCAGTTCATCAAAATGCACCCAAAGGTGCACTTTGGCAGCAAACAAGAAAACGAAACCATTCACAAACTAAAGCAGCAGAAAAAGTCAAAAACGCACAGTAAGAAAAACCATACCCATAAGTAGATACTCTTCAGGCTACACACTTCTAGAAATCCTGTATGCCTAACAAAGCAGAAGGTCTAACTTACTCAATTCCTTTTTGAACCATCGGTATTTCGCGCCTTCTACAGGTCTAATGGTAACGCCAGGAGCCAACTCACTCCACGGAACAAAACCGAATGAAATTCCCAGGCTGATTTCTGTTCAGTCAAGGGCATTGTAGAGATAACGAAGTGGTACAACCTCTGCACGGTCTGATTACCCAGTACTTACTCGGCTGTAGCTTGATTTTCTAGAAATGCATACTAAAAACGATGATCATTTACATTACCAATGCAGAAATCGGAATTAAAAGTCTCGTCAACCAACAAGAGTTGTACTTCAGACGATCTCTT